GCTGGAGACCTTGGCAGTTACAGAGGCACTACATGAACAGGATAAGGCTTTGGGAGACAGGGAGGGGGATGGGACGTGTCCCAAGGAAATGGCAGCTCGCTGACAGTATTACACTTCACTCTACAAAACCCAAGACTCAAAAAATGAGGAGATAGAAAAATATTTAAGCTCTATCACGACTTTACCCTCGATATCTTTACCTCATGCAATGTTAATGGAGAGACAAATTGACCCATTGGAACTGAAAGAAACACCAAAACTCCTCAAAAATAACAAAGCTACTGGACCAGACAGTTTACCGTCAGAATTCTACAAAACCTTCCAACAACCTCTGTTCGACCATCTTCTCACCACCTGTAATGGAGTCTTGCAACACGGTCTTATGCCTAACTCTTGGTCTGAGTCAACTCTAACAGTGATTCATAAAGATAACAAAGACCCTGCAGTCCCCTCTTCATATAGACCTATTTCGCTTCTCAACCACAATAACAAAATCTTTACATCCATTATGGCCAATAGATTAAAGACATTTATCTCGAAAGCAAGACATTGCAAGTAGATAAATAGGTACCACTTCGGTGGGAAGGTAACAGCGTTCCGTGCGTTTAGTCATGCCGGCCACATGACCACGGAAACGTCTTCGGACAGCGCTGGCTCTTCGGCTTTGAAACGGAGATGAGCACCGCAACCCTAGAGTCGGATTCGACTGGTTTTCGAGCAAGGGAACCTTTACCTTTACCTTTTTACATTAAGGCAGATCAGACAGGCTTCATACCGGGTCAACAAATCGCAGATAACATCCGCAGGACTCTTGATATTATCATCTGCAGGAAGAATATCCAGGAGGAGGCTTTAATTCTTGCTCTAGATTTCAAAAAAGCATTTGATTCAGTGGAAACCTTATACATTATCTCTCTCTTTAAAAAAATGGGTTTCGGCAGTAATTTCCTGAGGATGATACAAGTAACATACTCAAACAATATAGCCAGAATAAGAGTTAACGGAACCTACTCGACCCCATTTAACCTTACGAGAGGTACCAGACAGGGCTGCCCATTATCACCACTGATCTTTGCTCTCGCGATAGAACCTCTAGCTGAAAAACTTCGTCAAACTAAGAGGTTCAGTGGAATAGATATTAACGGGCTTAAACATGAGACAAACATGTACGCGGACGATCTCATTCTGTATATTACTAATCCGTTATCTTCCATGGAGGCTATACTCCTTACTCTACAAAACTTCAGGGCTATCTTGGGCCTGCTAATGAACCATAGTAAACCTGAAGTTTACCCTATTGTTGTTAAACAATCGATGGCGGAGTCGCTACACAAACTTTGCTCTTTCAATTGGATACAGGAAAATTGGAGACATTTGGGCATTATGATTCCACTCAAACTGAAGGATTTGACCAGAGTAAATTTTCACGCTTTGCACTCCAAAAACAAGGTGGACTTTAACAATTCGAACTCTCTTAAGTAATCTTTACCTGATAGGCTTCATTTGATTATAGAGCTTCATACTCCCGAAATTCCTTTTTCTCTTCCGCTCTTTACCGATTCTTATTACAAAAAAAGACTTCCAAATTTGGCAAAGATCCCTGACATGCTTCCTATGGGAAGGGAAAAAATCGAGAATAAATAATAACATATTGCAGAGACCCGCTAAACTAGGTGGATTAGACTTTCCCTCATTACACGCCACAATATTGTCTCAAATGGTCCAAATGCAATACAACGATAATCAGAAGCAATGGAGACTAATTGAACCTCTTTATACAGCTCCATACGAGCTTCAGGAAATTGCCTGGATCAAGCCTGACTTGAGACCAAGGTCAATCAAGGAAAATATGTTTGTATTAGCAGCAATCAAAACATGGGATCAGAACAAGAAACTCCTCCCTCAGGGGATCTCTCAAATCTCAGCATTTACATGTCAAAGATGGTTTCTCCCTGGTCTAACCCTGCAAACCTTCAAAGACTGGAAAGAAGGTGATCTCAGACGCCCTTATGACTTAGTAGAAAAAGGAAAAATACTGGATGAACAGTACTTCGATCAGAAAATGGGCAAACGTGCACCTTGGCTTCAGTATTTCCAGTTAAGAAGTCTTATTGATTAACTTTCAGGGTTAGGTACATTTCAAAGAGAGTTAACGAATTTGGAAAAAATTATTAAACTTTACCCTAACTCCCCAAAAGGTATTATTTCCAAAGTATACAGTGTGATTGTCACGGAGGAGAGCCGGATAAAACTCAAATTCCAACAGCGTTGGGAAGAAGACTTCACAGCACAATGGAATGAGGCAGACTGGGATATTATATGGTCCTCTCCAGCCAATAGCTCTAGCATATACAATGTTAGACTACAATTTTTACAACTTTATTCCAGGTGGTACATAACTCCGCATCAATTATATAAAATAGACTCTAACAACAACCCGATATGTTGGAAAGGATGCGAGCAGATTGGTACTTATTTACATTGCTGGTGGGAATGTCCAAAGATCCGTCACTTCTGGGAGGAAGTCCGAAAACAAATTATTGAAATAACTTCACACGACTTCAACTCAAGTCCTGAGACTTTGTTACTGAATCACTGGGATGACACCATAGATGATAGAACCAAAGAGATAATAGCATTACTCCTAGCAACAGCTCGATTGACAATAGCCTCATGCTGGAAATCTCCGCTGTCACCTACATTAAATGCTTGGCATGATGAGATTTGGGAACAGTTTGTGATGGCAAAAATCACCGACAGAATACGCGAAGCACAAACAGATCAGACATCCCTATCCAAATTCGAAACAATTTGGTTTCCAATATTCTCTTACCTTTCAACACATGGTATACTTCCAACCAATGCATATTATCACAAGTGGCTAGTGATGTGAAATTTACTATGGGAATGTCGGCTAACAGGTGATGAAATACTTATCTATTACTTTCCTAACTCATTAGGATAATGATTTTATGCTTAATAGAGGATCTTTCTGTAAAATTGTTAGGTTGTATAAAGCACATTGACATAGTTTCAGAATATTGTATTCTGAGGTACTTTTAACAATTTGAAGCTTTTCTGATATTAATTTCTGTATTGACAAATTAAAACAATAAAGTATTTAATTATATATATAAAAAAAGACTTTGCCAAAATGAAGAAAAGGCCAGCTCAAGCCTCTAATAGGGTTATCAATGTCAAAGTGAGGCCTGGAGGTCTTCCAGAATTACAACTGATCTCCTGACTACAGATATTAGTTCCCCTGGGCCTGGAGGAGATGGCAGCTTTGAAGGGGGACTGTGGCATCACATGGCTGCTGAACTGCCGAGATTCTTACTTCCCTAGGCACCCCCCCCCCCCTCCAGGAAGGAGTGTCCAAAGCCAGAGTTGGCAGCTCGAGCCACTAGACTGCCCTATTGAAAACCAGCTTTCTTATCTATCTCCTATAGTTATGCATCCTGACCTGGGTGGCCCAGGCTAGCCTGAACTCTTCAGATTTTGGAAGCTAAGCAGGGTCAGCCCTAGTTAGTACTTGGATGGGAGTCCACCAGGGAAGTTCAGGGTCACTAACACAGAGGCAGGCAATGGCAAACCACCTCCGAACATCTCTTGCCCTGAAAACCCTACAGGGTCACCATAGGTTGGCTGTGACTTGACCGCACTTTCTGCCCCCACACCAGCCTTGCTCTCCACTGAAGCTCTGTCTGTTCTCCTTCTTCAAAGAATGAATTCACATGTGCTTCCCAAAAACATTTTCTGCCAGTCTGAGTACACAGTACTGACCTTGATGGACCAAGGGTCTTGATTCAGTAGCAGGCAGCCTCATGTGTAACTTTTGAGTTCATGTGTTTGAAGCAAATGCACAAATATCCAGTATGAAAAGTGGAAATACAGTCCTAAATCTGTCTGTGTCAAATTGATAGTTGTGCTACAGCAACCCTTCTGTACTGGCTTTTTCCTCTGTGAACAAAACAGTCTGGGATGTTGAACAACTGTTTTAGTGCAATATCTAATGATGTGTGTGGATGGAGCATGTGAACAGTTTCTGCACACCGCAGTGGGCACAGGCTGGGCCTCAAGTCCCCACTATCTGCAACAGTCAGTCTTGACTTGCAGGTTCTCCTCAGTTCCTCTCCCTGTGATGCCCAGTTGGGATCACAATTGGGGCATGCACAGAGGAGGAGCTTCACCCTCTCCCACGCACCACTTTCCTGACCTGAAACAGTCCTGTGTTATTTGGCCTCGTGGGGAATCCCATGACTGTAGACGTGGTTTTCCACAGTGGGCCAAATAGCACACCCCTGGGACCACTGCAGGGAGAAGTGGATTGGTCACTAGTGAGTCTAGTGAGCCAATATTCTGGGGGCCACCCACCATCAGGGCCAGGAAGGACCCAAGCGAGGGTTGGTCTTCACACCCCATGCTGGTGGGTTGTAGCTGTCACAGGCCAGCAGCCCCCCTCCCCCCACCTGACCCAGGGTGAGGTGCACAGCCCTGCCAGTTTCCGTCCCAGGCAGGGAAGGAGGCACACAGCCAAGCTGTGTGGGGCTGGCAGGGCAAGCGCTTTCTCCCTCCTGAATTCCCATGAGGAAAGGGGAATTTCTGTTAGCATGTTTGTTTTGTCCTGTTGCATATAAAGTTTGGTGCGGCTCTGATAGGAACAGCTGCAGGCCTGCTAGGTTTAGGAAGCAAATTCAGAAGTCCCTTCTGCAGGCTTTCTGGCCAGAGATGCCACCTTAACCTACACTCCTAAAAACCAAGGACTTGCCCACCCACTCCTTTCTCCTGTGTTGTTTTGGCAGACACCTGCTACATCCTCTCCTTCTCCATCATAATGTTGAACACCAGCCTGCATAACCCCAATGTCAAAGACAAGACCCCCTTTGAGAGGTTCGTGTCCATGAACAGAGGCATCAATAATGGAGCAGACCTGCCGGAACCACTCCTGAGGGTAAGAAAGCATCAGGCCTTTTCCTGTTCCTGCTTGCTTGAAGTCAAAACAAGAAGGGTTGGATCCTTTTACATGTTCTGGGTATACAAAGAAGCCTGGGAAACAATTGCTCCTCAGAGTCAGATGGCATGTTATGCTGGGGATCCATGACCAGATTTTCAAATACATCACTTAGCTAGTGGAGGTGGTATTATGGATTAGGGATTTTGATTGAAGCAGCACAGAGGGCCAATTTCTGACTAGGGAAATGGCAAATGCAGGGTTCCCAGCTCTATGGCCCCGATCCATGCTGAGGGAAGGCCCTCACAACTGCATTTTGCAGCTAAAATTACAGATTTGGAGATTGGATCACAGATCCTCAGGATAATTTGTCATTTGGCTCAGGGAGGTTATGAGGGGGAAATGAAAGTGGCGGTTATGTTGTCTCACTGAGGAAGAGCCTGTGTTGGTTTGCCTCTGTGTACCCTTAGCAGCAAAGCCAGATTTCCCCCCTCCCTACAAATGCATGAGTGGGGCCGCGGTGGCTCGGAGGTTAAGACGCTGAGCTGCAGACCGGAAGGTCAGTAGTTCAGCAGTTCGAGACCCTAGTGCTGCGTGACGGAGTGAGCTCCCATCTCTGGCCCCAGCTCCTGCCAATCTAGCAGTTCGAAAGCAAGAAATTGCAGGTAGATAAATAGGTTCCATTTTGGTGGGAAGGTAACAGTGTTTCGTGTGCCTTGATGATTAGTCATGCCAGCCACATGACCACGGAGAAGTCTTCGGACAGCGCTGGCTCTTCAGCTTGGAAACAGAGATGAGCACCGCTCCCCAGAGTCGGATTCGACTGGCTTTCGAGCAAGGGAAACCTTTACATTTTACTTTTACTTATAATGCATGAAGGTCTAGAAGTATCTCTCTGGGCTTAAAAGATGCTTCGTGGCAAAATTGCATGGATATAGATGAGCAGTAGGGAAGTCGGGGTCAGCTTTTTAATGAGGCAACCTAAGGTGGTGATTGAGGGGGGGAGCAGAGTTTGGGGGCAGCAGTACTCAGTCCTGCCCACCACCCGCCAGATGCCAATCTGAGCGCTAACCCTTTCCAAGAATCAGAGGAGATAATTCTCCTTGTTCCTCCAAGCCTTTTTAAAAGCTGAATGGTAAGCCATGCCTGCCCTTTCGCAAACTCTCATGATATTTCAGCTCTTGCGAGAGCTTGGCTGCCATTGCTGATCCTGTTGCCAGGCAACCAAAAGGGTTTGTCTTCTCTAGCTTCTGGGCTCAGCAATGGAGGGGGCTCAGCTTCTCTAGCTTCTGGGCTCAGCAGGGGCTGTGGAGATGGAGGCTGTTGCTGCCAGGAAGCGAGTTGTGTATTAGCTCCCTTTCTTCTCCGTAGCCTTGAATGAGCCCGAGTTGTCTGCAAGAGGAGACTCTGGGGAGAATGTTGATAGAGTTGTTTATCCGATTACATGTGTTTATTTTCTTTTATACCTGGCATAGTGGTGTCCTTTACAGGTGCATGCTGTGCTTTAATGGAATGACACCTACTGGCTCTATAATTTTTTTCTACAGGTTATGAGCTCTAAAGCTTTTTCTTTCCAATGAACTGGTGAACCGCTTTGGGTTCTCTGTTCAACTGTTAAAGATATGGGAGCCCAACGAAAAAAGTTGTGGCTGTCTTTCATATATGAGGCCTTTGTATGTACTGTGCTTCTCGTGTTCCAGTCCTATGCACCAGGACAGCATGTTATGCAAAATCATGTAAGCATGTGCAACTGCTGTTTTGTGTGAAAAAGGCAATGTGTGTATTTTGCAGCTTAAGAACATAAGAGAAGCCAATGTTGGGTCAGGCCAATGGCCCATCCAGTCCAACACTCTGTCAAACAGTGGCCAAAAATACCAGGTGCCATCAGGAGGTCCATCAGTGGGGCCAGGACACTAGAAGCCCTCCCACTGTTGCCCCCCCAAGCACCAAGAAGACAGAGCATCACTTGCCCCAGCCTGAGAGTTCCTATCTATACCTCATGGCTAATAGCCACTGATGGACCTCTGCTCCGTATGTTTATCCAGTTCCCTCTTGAAGCTGTCCAGGCTTGTAGCCGCCACCAGCTCCTGTGGCAGTGAATTCCATGTGTTAGTCACTCTTTGGGTGAAGAAGTACTTTCTTTTATCTGTTCTAACCCGACAGCTCAGCAATTTCATGGAGTGCCCACGAGTTCTTGTATTGTGAGAAAGGGAGAAAAGGACTTCTTTCTCGACCTGCTCTATCCCATGCATAATCTTATAAACCTCGATCATATCACCCCTCAGCCGTCGTTTCTCCAAGCTAAAGAGCCCCAAGCGCTTTAGCCTTTCTTCATTCTAGCTTCAGTATGCACTACCCGAAAACCAGATTTTCAGGGATATATGTTTGCATGTACTAGGTCTGCAAAAATATCCACATTATTCTTGTTGGACAAGATGGTGATCATGTGTACTGAGATGATGGTGCATAACAAGCTCTTCTGATATGTGGGATTACAGCACCACAAATGTAACTCCTGAAAAGGGCTACTCTAGAAACTTCTGTGAGCTTTGTAGTTGTAGACAGTATACCCATTATATGATGATGATGAAGAAGAAGAAGAGTAGGCTTTTATGCCCCATTTTTCTCTACCTTAAGGAGTCTCAAAGCAGCTTACCATCGCCTTCCCTTCCCCTCCCCACAGCAGGCACCCTGGAGAGAGGTGGGGCTGAGAGAGTTCTGAGAGAACTGTGACTGGCCCAGCATGTTTTATGTGGAGGGGTGGGGAATCAAACCAGGTTCTCTAGATTAGGGTCCAAAGCTAACCACTATACCATGCTGGCTTCAGTGTATGTGGGTGCGCTCAATATGTATAGGCAGAGGGAGAAGTGGATATACCTGCTGGCCACATCGCTCATGCATGTTCAGCATAGAATCTGAACAGTGCCTATTTTCATACAACTCTACTGTTCCACTCAATCATTAGCCCTTTTCAGTTGTTATATTTTTGATGCTTCTACCACACATAATGCAAGTGATCCTCCCAATAAATGTAATTGCCATTTTGTATACGTGCATTTTTGAGCTTTGGTACACGTGAACATGTACTTGCAAGAAAACTGGGTTTCTGATCACGTTATCTCATTCACGCAAAATGGTGATTGCGCGGATCGAGGGGATTGCATGAAGCACACAAAATAGTATGACTGAAAAGATTTAGAAAGTCTGCAGAAAGCAGGGTCCCCTGTTACAGTTTATGTGCATACATTTTACACACATGAAGACTCTTTAATAACTTGTGCTGAACATGTGTAGGGAGTCAGGGACGGGGCTAGGGTACACAGTCCTATCCCCCATTCGCATGTTCAGTGTATCCCCATATAGTATCTGTCCTGGATATGCATGATCACAGTCAATGTACAGTGCACGACAGAGAACCACTCCCTGAATGAGGTTTCAATTTTGGTAAAGCAAGGCTGCTCTGCTCAGAGTGCCAGAGGGTTTCACAGGGTCAGCACCCCTTACTGATAACTACACAGCCAAAGGCATTGACCACAGGAATTTTGCAAGGCCACACAAGTTCAGCATCAGCTATATGATGTCGTAATCCTCACTGGATTGCCAGTCCGGTTGAAACTCTGCTTTATAGTGCCCTCCAAAGCAGCGCTGCACCCCCAAATAGACTTAGAAAGGTGTAACTTTGTTTAGGATGGCACCTAGGTTTGCCAGCTCTGGGTTAGGAAGTACCTGGAGGTTTGGGGGATGGACCCTGAGGAGGGCGTGGGGTTTGGGGAGGGGAGGGACTTTAATAGGGTATAATAATGCCATAGAGTCCACCATCCATAATGGCCATTTTCGCCAGGTGAACTGTTGCCTGGAGATCAGTTGTGATAGTGGGAGATCTCCAGCCACCACCTGGAAGTTGGAAACCCCAATGGCACCACTAGTATAACAAGCACGTCACGGCTCTTTCTGTATATTTTTATTTATTTATTGTGATATATATCCCACCGTCCCTCGCAAGCGGGCTCAAGACAGGTTGCAACCAATGCTCCCCCTAAGCTGTGGAGTCTTGTGAGCAAAAATTCTACTTTGTGAGCTCCTGGCATTAAAGTTGTGAGCGATTTGGCTGCTGCGTAAATTAGTTTGCTCTGGAGCCCTCCTTCCTGAGCGAAGACAAAAATGTGTGAGCCGGAGGCTAAAAAACTGTGAGCTAGCTCACACTAACTCAGCTTAGAAGGAACACTGGTTACAACAAGAAGAAAAAAATAACTATAAAAAATTATTAATTCCTATTTAAAAACTGACACCAGTTTATTAAATACCTAAAACATGATAGCGATCCAAAGGTTTCATAAGCCCAGAGTGCACGCTGTATGGAATGCCGGTGGTGGTGGTGCAATAGTTTTTAGCAGGTGAGCCAAACCACCATCGGCATAAGGCTGATTCAAGCAGGGGAGGCCGAGGTAATTGGACATCTACTGCATCAACCAAAGGAACAACTCCATTTTGCAGGCTCTGTGGAATTGTAATAAGTCCCTTAGGACCCAGATCTCAAGTGGGAGCATGTTCCACCAGGCCGGGGATTGCCAAAAGTTTATTTATTTAATTACATTTATGAATCACCTAATCCCCACAAATGTGGGGCTCTAGGCGATGGACAAATTCTAAATAATTAAAACCATAAAACTATCCCAACACATTATACACAGGTAAAACAAATGGCAAATTTATATTTTGTAGTGCCCTCCCAATCCTGCATTGTGAGTGTTTCGTGGGCACGGGGAGGGAATAACTCAAGAGGAGTAGGAGATTCAGGTAAGGAAGGGGGCCAGCCATGGTACTGGTCAGATGAGCACAGGGTAGCCAGCCCCCAAGTCGGGGTGCGGGATCCCCCATTATTGGGGGCTCTGATCCCCAATCTCCGCCCCCAAGAGCGACCACCCGCGTCTACCCCTCTCCCTCCCCTACGAGAATTAAAGGACTTCAGCTGATCGGCGGTGAGCACGTGGCCCGCCAATCAGTTGGAGAGCCCTTTAAATCTTTCAGGAGGGATGGAGAGGGGCTGTCGCTGGCCACACGTTCCACTCACAAATAGACCCTTTAAAGAGTCTTTTTGTGAGTGGGGGGGGGGCCCTGAAGCGTATGGAGCTGATTTCCCAGCGGCAATTCACCGCTTGGGATTCAGGAGAAGAGAATAAAAAGAGATTGGATTTATACCCCGCCCTTCACTCGGAGTCTCAGAGCGGCTTACAAACTCCTTTCCCTTCCCCTCCCCACAACAGACACCCTGTGAGGTGGGTGGGGCTGAGAGAACTCTGAGAGAACTGTCCTTGAGAGAACAGCTCTGACAGAACTTCAGGCATGCACGCCACCATCCTGCTTGCTACAAATGGGGCAGTGGAGCACGAGGCTGGCTACGAGCAAGGCGATAGCGTGCTGGCCTGAATCCCAGGCAGTGAATCGTCACTGAGAGATCAGCCTGCACGTCACAGCCACTACCCCACTTGCAAAAAGGCTCTTTAAAGGGCTGGCAATAGCCCCTCTCCCGCCCTTCTGAAAGATTTAAAGGGTCCTCCAGCCCTTTAAATCTCGCAGGAGGAGAGGAAGTGAGGTGGCCAGGGGTGGTTGATCTTGGGGGCAGGGCTCGGGGGCATCCCTGCCCACCCCCAGAATGCCCCCCAAATCCCCCCGTGGGAGTGGAGAGGAGACCTGGCAACCGTAGATGAGCGTAAAGCTCTTCGGGGCACATATGGAGAGAGGAAGTCCTGCAGATATGTTGGTCCCTGACTGCATAGAGCCTTAAAGGTCACTGGCTGAATGTATAAAGGCTGGATTTTCTGCAGAAGCCACTTCCTGTTGGTAGTTCAGAGGAAGTTGCAGGAGACTTACAAATATGTGACATCAAAATTCCAGTAGCCCCAGTTCTGCTAATTTCCTGGACAAGCAGATCAAAATTTCTCCCTTGCGAGTGAGTCAGTGGTACATAAATCCCAGCTGTATTTTCTTGCCAGAGTTTTCAAAAAGTTCTCATTTTCTAAAAACAAAAAATAAGTCCCAAAAACGAAATATAAATCATAGGGCGGGATCTAGACTAATTTTCATGCTCACACAAAACGCTTTTGGTTCTGCCAGTGGAACAGAATGTTCCTGTCTCCTAGGGTTGCCAACATCCAGGCAGGGCCTGAGATATCCTGGAATTCCAATTGCTCTCCAGACTATAGGGATCAGTTCCCTTGGAGAAAATGGCAGCTTTGGAGGCCAGGCTCTGTGGCATCACATCCCCGTTGAGTTCCGTCCCCTTTCCAAACTCTACCCTCCCCAGGCTCTGCTCACCACCTGTAGGAGTTCCTCAACCCGGAGCTTGTAACCCTACCGCCTCCCCTCCTCCCACTGTGGTCCATAGAGCTCCCCAAAACTCTGCTCCTGGGGGACAGGGCTCCTTCTGGAACACCAGGCTAGGAAGAGGGCATTGGGGGAAATTACCACTCCGCTTGCATTAGCAGAAAATCAAGCCTGGATCCAACCCACAATTCCAACATTTAAGTTCAGTGTGGTTGAGGGCAAGGGAAGGCACAGAGGAATTTCACATTACCCTTTTTAACCCGTTTTGAAGCCATTTTTGATCCGTCATGAACCGGTATAGGGCTGCCATTTCACTCATGGCTTTCCCCTTCTGGTAAAGAGCTGGATCTGAAGCGGTTTGCCATTTCAGACTGCACCGCTTTTTCCCACTTTTCCCCCGCCGTTTTTCGCCCGCGTGGGCGCTTTATAGCACTATAACAAAACACTCCAGGCATTCCAATGGGGTTGATATACTGCTGTTCCGTTATAGCGTTATAGCGCTATAGCACTATAACGCTATAAAGCAAACATTTTTTTTAAAGCCGGCGATTGCCCGCGCGGGCGAAAAACGGCGGGAAAAAGCGCATCGGAACCGGGAGAGGAAACTGAAGACTACTTGGAAGCGGTTGACAGGTAAAACGCTTCAGCCCCGTATCCTAAACGGGACAGAAGTGTTTGTGTCTGAAATTACAAATATATTCTGGTAGGGAACCGGTTCTAAAATGGTTCTGTCTGAAATGACAGACCAGAAACTGTTTGGGAACCGTTCCTCTTCCGGATTATATCGTCTGTCTGAAATTCCTCACACAGAAAGATAAAGCGATTCATGGTGGGAAGGGCAGGTGGGAAGGAGGGCCAAGGGGCCATAGGGAAGGCATTGAAGTCTGGTCTCATGCTCATAGGAAGCCACCCCGCCACTACTCTGGTTGGTGTTGGTGATGTCTCCCCAAACCCCGCCTATACATTTCCGTCTCTTTGCTGTAACCAAGAGGAAGAAGGAATCTATGCAAACAGTGAAATGATGGTAGAACCCTATCAAGTACAGTGGATGACAAACTGTGGTTCAAGTGTACAATTTTTTAATGCTCCCTGGCACTAAAAACCCTCCCTTTCTGCATAGACTTTTTACATAGAGATGCATTACAGTCTTTGTGAATTTGCTGCACGTGTAGATAAAGGCTAGCTTTAGGTGTGCCCATTTCTATGCATTACTGTGCATGTCCCTCTAGGCTACAGCTACCAAGCGGGGAGGTTTTAAGTTGCTCGTTTCCACATGGGTTATTTGCCCCAGGTTCAATGCTGTGGTGAAATGTGGTGCTTTTCTGAATCTCCTGGATTTTTCTCTTTCCTCGGTTTCACTCTGATCTTTCTCAAATGTGCTTTTCTGTGACTTTTTGGGAAATATTACCACAAAGGCTGCCATGGTCTGCCCTGACCCTGCAGCAAGCATCGGGGGGGGGGCATGCTTTTTGTTTTGTTAAATCAGCAATTGAATATTGTTATAATGTTCTAACGAGCTGTGTATCAGATTCTCTGAATTCCCAGCTTTCATGATTTTTTAAAAAGTAAGTCTCTAGCCTCTTTCGTATCAGAGATACAATGCCTTATATCTCCACAATGAAAGGGGCTAGAATTGCTTCTTAAAAAATAGAAGTCTGGGAAATTTGGTATGCAGATTGATATAAAATTATAGTAATATTTGATTGCTGAAAAACTAAATAAACACAGCGGCACGGGGGGTAGTCACTGCTAGGAGACTCAAGCAGGGGAAATGTAGAAAAACCTGCTATGTGGAGACCCATTGCTGCTGTATACAAGACTGTCCCCATGTAGAAGATGCCGAAGTGTATAGCTAAGCAGATGTGACTGGTTCGTGGGCCTGTATGGCCTGGCAGAGACTGTCCGTACAGGGCATAATTAATTCCCATGTTGTGTGCCTGCATGATTATTGTTAGGCGATTGCAGGTAGGCAGGAGTGATGGGAATATTGATGGCCTTCATAAGTTGACACCCTTCAGGAATTGTCTTCTTTTTCTCCCCTTCTTTTGCCTCTGCGGCAGATTTTGTTTGACAGCATCAAGAACGAACCGTTTTCCATCCCTGAGGATGATGGGAATGATCTCACCCACACTTTCTTCAACCCCAGCCGGGAAGGCTGGCTCCTTAAACTAGGTAATGCTTGTTTTTTTGTTGAAAATCTTCCTGCTGCCCTCTGCGCTAAGTAAACCCTCTCCTGAGGCAAGCCCCCTAATTAGTTTAAGGCTGCTGCAGCAGCCTGCCTTCTGCTGTGGTGGGGTGACAGTGACCCCTAGCGGTCAGCTCAGCTGTGTCTTCCCTTGAGAGTCCCTTCTCTGAATGCACAAGCTGCTCTGGCTCAGATGAAGGAGGGAGAGAGAGACGCCTTACCCTGCTCTCAGCTGCCCCTGTTCTCTGTCTGTATTCTGCGGTGGGGAATGAGAGAGACACTCACAGTATGCGTTTTTAGGGAAAATCTGGGAAGAAGATGATTATCAGAATATGGGCAGAGCGCAGGCATGTAGAACCATCAGATTGAATGACATGGAGACCCTAGCGTTGTGATTCAGAATTCTTTTCTCACTATATCCAGGGGCTTGGGTGTATAGGGAGATATGTATAGATATACATACACCAGACAGTCATGGACACCTTTGGGAATGCACAAGGGTCCATTTTGACAAGACCCATGAAGTGTAGGGTGTGTGAAGAACAGAGAGAGGGAAAGGACTATATGTATATTCATTGGCCAACACACTTTAATTTTTTTCCTGTAGGGGGCAGAGTGAAGACTTGGAAAAGGCGTTGGTTCATTTTGACTGATAACTGCTTGTACTATTTTGAATTCACCACGGTAAGGGCTCCATCGAAACAAACCTGTTCAAAGAGAGAGGTTTCCAGAGGGTGAGGAAACGATGCTCCCCTCCCCTCATGGCTGGCACTGGAAGCAGACCAGATCAGGGAGCTGCCTGTGGATGCTTTAATGGTCCATCCAGGTGGGCCCTGGTGTGTTCAGCCGCTGGGAGCCCATGAATCACAGGAGGACTCAGGAGCACTGAAAGGGAAAATGCTCCTAAATGCTTCAGTACAAAAGTTGGAAGTTTGTTTGTTTGTTTGTTTGCTTTGTTTGTTTGAGTTCAGAGCTCCACCCCTTGTTGTGTGCAGGCAATAAGTCTCTGCCCCCCCTACCCATTTTTATCACTTCTGTTTTGGCGGGGTGGGTCCCTAATCTGCACTTCCCAATGCAATTCTGTGCTCAGTAAGGGGAGTGCAGAGAATGGATGAAGGATTGTGGAAGTGGGAGATCAGTGTTGTCTTTCTTGCCTATTGCCCGGACAGAGGACCAACAAATGCACCCCTCTTCGTAATATTCTGGCAGATGGTCCCTTCCACAGTGAGACTGTCGCGTGTCACTTCCCTGTAGCTGCCGCCCTGTGGCAGTCTCAGTTGCTGTCACTGAGAGGGTAGGGTGATGGGGAGCACTGAAGGTCTCTTAAGAGGGCCCAAAAACTGGTATTGTGTTTGCATTAAGGGAGGTACTCATCCATGATTTGCATTGCTTTCTAGGATAAGGAGCCTCTAGGGATTATTCCCCTGGAAAACCTTTCTGTTCGGAAAGTAGATGACCCGAAGAAACCAGTAAGTCACTGTTGCTAATTTTGTGACTAGAACTTCCTTGCCTCCTTCATGGGGACACAACCCACCCCTCCGTCCAGTGCCTTCCATGTGGCCAAGTCATCATGTCTTCCGCCTGTTCTGTCCTGAAAACATAATTCCCAGGCATGGATGGGAATTTGGATTGGGAGTGCAGCATGTGAAGAGGAGAGGCTGAAGCCTCCACCCCTGTGCATCATCAGTTGTCCAACGTGAAATGCCCCACTGTTTGCCCTGCTGGGGAGATTTACGTGTAGCTCATCAGTACATACATTTTCCAGTGGGGCAAATGGCAGTGCCTTGGGCCATTCAGGTCAGGAAAATTCCATGAAGGGGTGTGCTAAAGCCCCCTCGCCTCACATCATGCCATGGTCCCAATCCAAATCGGGCCCCTGGCCACCTGGACATTAAGTTCTGAGCACTGTACCCATGTCTGGTATCCATGGGGGATGTGAGGACTTTGTAATGTGGGACTTCATACTATGTGTGTCCATAGAGGTTACCATATGTCAGTGGGTATGGAACAAGGCATTCATGATTACATTTTTTCATCCAGAAGCATTTTCCTGGTCCAACCAGTAAAGCTATATTTTGTGAGGTAACCAACACTGTGGTATGGGAAAACAATATGGGTTGGACTAGACGACCCTGGAGGTCCTTTCCAACTCTACGATTCTATGAAAAAACCCAAATCCAGATTTAATTAATTTATTCAAAGGTCATTATCCTTCCTTTCCCTCATTCCACAGAATCCTCCACTCTCTCGTCTCGTCTCCCTGGTTCCATGACCCAACAGGTTCTTTCAGGCTCCACCTCTGAGCCGCAACAGCTCTCCTCTGCCCCTCCCCCCCATCTCCATGCTGGCTTCAATCCGATGCAGCCACTGGGTCAATATTTCTGAAGTTCAAAAATTGGCAGCCCTATTGATTTCAGAAGTACAAGGACTGCAAGAAGGAGCAGTAGATTAAGTGATACTTAGCTAGTCTGGCTTTCCCTCCCTCTCCATCCTTCCTCAGGCCCCTTAATCAGAAACATTAAAATGCAAGTACCAGAAATGAGTTGTGAGTCGGTGTGAAAGAACAAAATGCAAGATCCAAGCAGCTGTCTAGTATGAAACTTCAGTCATTTATTTTAATTTTAATTTAAAGCATGCTCAAAGTGGCTTGTCAGTCATCCCTGTGCAATGGCACTCATTGGACGGAACACAGAGAGGCAGAGGCAGGCTTACTTCTTGCCAAGTCATTAGCCAGAAGGCTGCCTTGTTTTTCCTTGTATCTCTGTAATGCAAAGGCATAGTATAATAATTCCATAAGCACACTGTGCCAGAACGATTGCAGGTTTATTAGAACAAAGCAGGGCCTTTCCGGGCCTCTGCTAGAAACACAAAACTAACAGCCAACAGGGGAAAGTGAAACTCAACTACAGAACATGCTTTTTGCCTAAAGGACCAGGGGAAAATAACTGAACAGTTCAATAAGGGAACATCATCAAATTCACAACTTGCCACGATATAACACATAGACTGGAATTTTACTTTTGTCATGCAAAGCTCAGCACTCAGGGAAGGGAACTGCTAGGCTACCGCCACCCTGTTCTTGCTTCTGCCCACCCAGTGCACTGTGGGCCAAACTAGATGTGACAGCATCCTCATGCCCCCCCCCAGCTGTTTCAACATTTGAAATGGCCTGGGGGGGGGGGGCAGGACAAGACTACCTTGTCCCACTGTACTAAGGGTCCAATCAGGTCCATTTTTAAAGTCCCACTTTTAATCTTTAACTTGGAGCTGCGGTGGCTCAAGTGGTTAAGACGCTGAACTGCAGGCTGTGGAAGGTCAGTAGTTCAGCAGTTCGAGACCCGGGTGCCGCAAGACGGAGTGAGCTCCCGTCTCTAGTTCCAGCTCCTGCCAACCTAGCAGTTCGAAAGCAAGAAATTGCAAGTAGATAAATAGATACCACTTCGGTGGGAAGGTAACAGCGTTCCGTGCGCTTTGCTGTTTAGTCATGCCGGCCACATGACCACGGAAACGTCTTCGGACAGCGCTGGCTCTTCGGCTTTGAGACGGAGATGAGCACCGCATAGGGTTGCCAAGTGTACTTACCCCTTGCGGCGGGGGAACCTCGCCGTGGTCTGGGAGTTGTCGAAAGCGCGCGCGAGCACTGGCAGCATGTCCCCGGAAGTGATGTACGACGTTGATGACGTTGGGGGCGTGGCCGAGCTCGTTGGGGGGGAAACCTTATGGTTTTCCCCCCGACAAACTCAGCCATGCCCCCAACATCAGCCACGTCAGCTTCCGGGTAGAGGTGACGCAGCTTCGGGGGCGGGGTTCCCCCCGGGGCCCAATTCTGCCGCGGCGGAAATTGGGCCTCCGAAGCGGGGGATTCCCCGCTCCCCGGGCCCATTTGGCAACCCTAGCACCGCAACCCTAGAGTCGGATTCGACTGGCTTTCGAGCAAGGGACCCTTTACCTTTTACTTTAATCTTTAAAACAGTGGCAGCGTCCCTGCGGTGGATAGAAGGAAGTCATTGCCTCCAGTTCAGTCCTGTGTTGCTCTGTCCTTGAGGGACTCCCATAATAAATCTGAGTCAACACAAGTACTTTTTGCAAGTCTTAACCGTTGGCAGAGTAATTAACACAGCAACGGTGCACAATCTGATAAAAGTGTAGATAAAGGTTTATTTAGGAACTAATATACTTGATAGTGAAGAGGAGAGACAGGGTCCTAACTACATCACTAGCTGAGAGAGAGAGAGAGAGCGCGCAAGACTGTGAAACTTCCAAGGAGGAGGAGGAGATTGCCCTGAGAGTAGCAATCTGGAGACAGACAAGGAAGGACACTTATCAGGAGAGAAGGTGCTGACCTCCTTCTCCTGTCTACTTGTCTTTTTGCTGCCCCCTTCAGGGTTTTCTTCTTTGTACACCAGACATTGCCAGTTTCCAACATTAACCATGTTATGAGGAAAACACACAGCAACATGCAATGTGAGAATGTCTCTCACTCTCTCTGAGAGAAACTGCAAGGATTTCTGAAGCACGTTCTGGAAATTTACAGTGTACTGAAACAGGCACCTGCCATTTTCAAATTATGTCTGCATGTATGGATCTTCTGAATGAGTACTGCCCTCAGAATATAGCTGACTTTTTAAAAAAGCAGTTTGAGAAACAGCCCTTGGTTATTCCTCTACTGCTGTCTACTCTAATCTTGAGGGAGCCCCCACCCCCCTTTAGCAGTTTTATCAACTGAGATTCTCTCATCTGAAAGCAACTAACTTGCACTGGTTCAAGATAAGAACAAAAGAGTAATACTGGCAGCTTTTCTCAGAGAGTGGAGTGCAATCGATTCCATAGATTGCTTGATAGCTCAACTAAAAGTAGTCTTGACAGAAAGGGGCACGGTTCCTGTAGAAGGATTTCAAATCATATTTGGTGCCAGATCTTTCTGGACATTATGGGACGAAAGGAGAAAATGGAAGCAGTGAAGATTATCTTACAAAGGTGACATCAAACCACCCAACTTTCTGACATGCGATGTATATATGTTGACAAGGCAGCAGGCTGAGTGGTCCTGGCTAAGGATAAGACATAGAAGGGCCCTTCTTCAGCTGGCCAGCCGGCTCTGATCACGAAAGGACTCTGGGCTAGCATGGCCCCCCGTGCGCCAGAAAAGCGATTCATTTCATTTTTATTCAGTGCATTTTTATCCTGCCCTTCCAGGGCAGTTTACATCATTCTGCCTCTGAACCTAAAGGGCCCACTGAGTGGTTATAGCTAATACTGAATGATAGACTAGCCCCTCCGTAAATCTGTCCAGCTCCCTTTTAAATCAATTTAAGGCAGTGGCTATCACCAGTTAGTGGCAGTGAGTTCCAGAAGTCAACACTCTACTGTTCGAAGTAGTACTTCCCTTTTTCAGTCCTTGTTGTTGTTGTTCAGTCGCAGTCAAGTCTGACTTTTCGCGACCCCATGGACCACCTCTTTCTCTACATTACACATAAATCTGCAGACCTCTGTAGTGTTACCCCTCAGTTACCTTTTCCCTAAATTAAAAAGCTCTTGTCTCACATTGAATGGGGCGTGTTTCCAAGAATACCTAGATTTGAGTCCGGTAGCACCTTAGAGACCAACAAGATTTTCGGGGTATAAGCTTTTGAGAGTCAAAGTTCCCTTCACCAAGTAACTTGCTTCCAAGTAGACATACATAGGAGTTACTACAGTGTAGCTCTGAGAAGGATAGCCCAGGCTAGCCCAATCTTGTCAGATCTTGGAAGCTAAGCTGGGTCAGCCCTGTTCAGTACATGGATGGGAGACCACAAAGGAAGTTCAGGCTTGCGACACAGAGGCAGGCAATGGCAACCACCTGTGAACCTCTCTTGCCTTGGAAACGTAAGTCACCTGTGACTTAACGGCACTTTCCACCACCACTACAGTGTAGCGTGCTCAGCTTGATCTATTTTAAGTGGCATTCTGAGATCCGTCAGATTCTTAAATCCTCTTGAGATAAGGGATTATACAAACAATGCCACTGTAGTCTGGTGGGTAGAGTGAACTTAAGAGAAGCCGTGTTGGATCAGGCCAATGGCCCATCCAGTCCAATAGTCTGTATCACACAATGGCCAAAACCCAGGTGTCACTAGGAGGTCCACCAGCAGGGCCAGAATCCAGAAGACCTCCCACTGTTGCCTCCCAAGCACCAAGAATGCAGAGCATCACTGTCCCAGACATAGTGTTCCATCTATACATTGCGGCTAATAGCCACTGGTGGACCTCTGCTCCGTATGTTTATCCAATCCCCTCTTATAGCTGTCATCATTTCCTGCAGCAGTGAATTCCACATGCTATGTACTCTTTGGGTGAAGACGTGCTTAGATTCACCACCTCAAATATGAAACTCGGTGGATAGCCTTAGGCAAGCTGCCACCTCTCAGCAAAACCTGCCTAACAGGGTTGTTGTTGAAGGCTAGGCAGAGAACCTGGAAGGACAGGCAAGAGATAAATACGACAAAACAATAAAGCTGCAGCTGCTGCTACAAAAATATCTCACTCTCTAAGCTGCAGTCTAAATGCACAGTTGTAGTATTTTATGCGTGGTGATTTTGCCAGGGTCAAACAGTCAGTCAGTGTCAGGAAAATAAATAATTTCCAAGTCCTCTGGTTCAACATCCTTGGCATTGGATCATATGGGGATCAGTACATATGGATATGGGAAGACATGACGGGTAATTGTCTTTGCATCTTTAATTACAGCACAACAGACGGACATACATATGCACACACACTGGGTGGTGAAATTCACGCTCTGCTCCTCTTCATTTCTCTCCCCCTAGAACTGTTTTGAGCTTTTTAACACAAATTGCAAGGGGCAGAAGATCAAAGCCTGCAAAACTGATGGGGATGGAAAGGTGGTTGAAGGCAAGCACCAGTCTTACAAGATCTCAGCAGCCGTGCCAGAGGAGCGTGACCTATGGATTGAAGCAATAAGGTGAGGGGAGGAAGCGAAAGTGCTTCCTCCATGGAAATAGGGGTGTAATGATGTTATGGGGCCGGACAGCAACAGCAGGGCATGCATTCTTCCAAGGAGAAAGGCTCAGAAATAAGGAACATGGGAGTTTCCCATCAAGAATCAAGAGTCTAATGTGAATTTAATAGCTGGTGTCCACACTCATGCACACACCAATTGATTATCTTATCACTGGCCAATCGTGGGGCAAGGGGTCAATTGTATAGTCAAACGCAACTCCCCCATGCTCCAGCTGTGGTCTTCAAATCGCTGTCTTCTGGCTGTTCCTTCATTTAACGGAGAGATCCTAAGCAGGTCTACTCAGTCAGAATCAAGTCCCATGTTATTCAATGGGGCTTACTCCCAGGATGTGGTAATGGGCTGAATGAGAGCCAGTAAAGTGAAACTGATTCTAGACAAGACTGAGATTCTGTTGGTTGGTTTGGAAGCTGATCAGGGGACTGGGAGACCACCTACTCAGGATAGGGTAGCATTCCCCTTGAAGGAGTAGCATCTTGTGGTACGCAGTTAAATCTACACATGGACGGAGAGGCAAATCTCCACTGCAGTGTACAGCAGTTTTCTGCAACTTAAGCTGGCTTTCCAGCTGTGTCCCTTCCTCAAGATGGGACCTAGCCAATGTTCCCTCTAAGCTGAGTTAGTGTGAGCTAGCTCACGGTTTTTTAGCCTTCAGCTCACAGATTTTTGTCCCAGCTCAAGAAAGATGGCTCATGAGCAAACTAATTTATGCAGTAGCCAAATTGCTTGCTCACAACTTTAATGCTAGTCGCTCACAAAGTAGAATTTTGGTTCACAAGACTCCACAGCTTAGAGGGAACATTGGACCTAGCAATAGTGATCCATGTGCAAATCACTTCCAGGTTAGATTGTTGGGTTGAAAGCTTTAAATGGTTCCATCCTACCTGCTTATTGTCCAGGGTCAGTTATCATCAGCATATTACCTCAGTTTTAAAAGCCCTATATTTTAAAGCCCTATGTGGTGTGGGGCCCGGTTATTTATGGGACCACTTCCTCTCTTATTGTCCTGCCCGGAGGAAGAGAGCCAGAGGACCCTTTCCTGCTGCTGCTCCCCTTTCTCTGAAATGCCTTCCCATTGGAAGTCCTTGTGTGTTCCCTGCCTGGCCTCCTTTTAGCCACAGCTAAAGACGCACCTATTCAGACAAGCTTTGAGCTGAGCATTTGGATTCTTTTTTAGATTCGTAATGTAATAACTGATCTTATGCCAATAACTGTTGTTTTTATTGATTATGGGGTTTTCTGTAAGCCACATCAAGCCCATTGTGCAGAGGTGGGATTTTAAGTAAATAATTCAACACTTAAGGGTTGTGCAGATGTTCAGAAGTACATGGTATAGGTGTGTAGCAGGGAGAAGGGTCGTGTTTGCTAGTTATCTTCCCAACATCTAACACTATCCCTATACTCATAGTAATGTATGTATATATTCCACATGATTGGGGAAGCTGCAGAAAGCAAGAACCTGATCACAGGTACATAACCTACATGAATAAATACATCTGCATGCACCAAAAAATCATTCAGTTATTAAAATTGGGTGCCCAGACTATAAGTGTAAAGGGAGACTGTTTAACTGGTAAGCCACCAGATAGGCACTGTCATCATTCTGTGTGAATAGGGTGTGACGCAACAGGTTTGGTATGGGTGATCAGAAACACAGATTCATGAGTATGAAAGCTGAAAAATACACCTGCTTCCCTATTAATACAAAATGGTGACCTCAGATATGAGGAGGATTCTGGGTAGTAGACTCTCCCTTTACTCCAGGTTTGAGTGATTAAAACAGAAATGACTGAAAAGGGCTTAGGACCTTCAGACATCTAGCTGGATGCACAGAAACTGGGGGGGGGGGGGTCCAAGGCCAGGAGGTGTGATGTCATTCTCCTCTGAGTGCCTACACTTTTGAATTGTTTTGATGATGGTGGGATCATGGGTGCTGCAATCTTTCAGTGATGGCAGTTGACAGAAATAGATAGGCAGAGGATATTAGAACACGAAGTTCTGGTAATGTATTTCATCCACTTGAATTCATGAGATTACAGTGTCAGAAAGATATTATAGGGACTTGGGCAAAAACAAATAAACACGTAATCCACTTTTCATGTTGGGTACCTTTGTGGTTCTGGAAAGGGCTTGGTCTTATGATCTCTTCACCAACAGCTTGACCCTTTCTTCTGACTTTCTCCTCCCTCGGACTTCTGTGCTGATTACCTGATGGGCATGATGTTCTTGTTAGTCTGTGTATCTGAGCTAAGTTCAGGGATACTCCTGTGGGCCCTGAAAGGACAGCACCCTGAATTCTTCTCCTTTTTTTTTCTTATTCCAGAACCAGCATTACTCGAGATCCTTTCTATGACCTAGTCGCAGCTCGTAAGAAAAAGGTTGCCAGCAAAAAGTGATCCTTTTCCCTGCCACCTTGTTTTCCTAATATTTAACTTCAAGAAAATGACTTCCCTGGAGTTCTCCAAGCAATAGCCAACTTCCTGTCTGAAACAGGAATATGACTGAAAGGCTGGTGAACTGGACCTCATCTTTCCATTCATAAGGCCAGAATCTGGGCACCATTTTCAGGAATTATGGCTGTTGTGTCTGTACAGAACAAACGTTAGCCAGCTTCTGAACTTCCCCTGACATTTTTATACATCATACTAAACAGGGTTAGATGCTTTGTGATTCCTTGATCATGGATCTGGGTCTATATTAGCAGATCAGAAGGAGCCCAGGAAAGAAATGCAGCTGCCATGACTTTATATTTCAAGAACTGAGACAAGAAGACCGACATGTCCACCAATGCCCTAACGAGGCAGGAAAAACCTGCTTACATGGAATCCTCTCCAGCTTGTTTCTCTGGGATCTCCTAAGTAAAGATACAGATCTGAGTGTTCCCTAGCATGTAGGAATGAAGGAATGAATAAATTCTGATTCAAAGGACAGTGGTCACCTGGAGGGATGAAGGGACGCAATGCCCTGTGGTGGGGGTTGGCAAGAGGAAGTACTTTTGTATCATTGGCTCATAAAGCTTGGCCCATAATTCTCCTGAACGTGTGAACTGCTGCCAACCAAGGCAACGGTAATGCTGAAGTGTGGGTTCTCAGGACAGAAGCTTCCAGGCATCCTGGCTCTAAAATGGCAGTTCAGGGACAGGCGGTTCTTGCATTCCCCGAGCTGGCTGCCACATCAATGCTGGAACAGAGGAGAAGAGTGGTTCGTATCAGGATTAGTAAGCCACTTAGAGGGCGGTCCCATACAGAGGATCAAGAAGCAAGCTCTGGTCTGGGAGACTTGCATTCAAGCGTCATTTCTGCTCCAGCTCATGCCGAGTCCTCAGACAACTCATTCCCTACTGGCCGGCTTCGGTTTCTCATCTGTGAAATGAGCATTAAAAAATATCCTGCTTTGCTGGGAGCAAACATGATAACTACTTTGTAAAGCTCTTTGTGAAGCAGAAATGCTATGTAAATGATAAATTGGCGGGAGGGGGGGAGAAATAGTTGGCAGAGAATGGTAAAAAAAAATGTTTTGAAAAATCAAAAGCAAATGGATGCAAAAACGTTTAATGCATCAACACACACGCTCAAAGCCAAAAGGATGGACAAATGCCAATGCTTTTTAAAAAAAATTAAAATGTGGGGGAAAACATCTTGCAGCCTTTGACACCTTCAGACTGGTTTTGTTTTATCAACACCAAACAGAAGCAGTAGGCATGCTGTATTGCTGTGGTTCTCGTTTCTTTTAATAATGAGTCCCGGCACATAATTTTGTTGGTCATATTTACCACCTATCTAGTTCTAAATTAGCTTGTTGGTACCTAAGGATGCAGAAAAGGAAGCCTGGGGGATAAGGACATTAGACCAAGGCCTGCATTTCAAATCCTACCTCTTCCACTGACTCTCTGGGAGACCTTTTGTAAGTTTTGGAGCCCTACTGCCTCATCTGCGAACTTGGAGTTTTACTCTCCATCCACAGAGGGTTATTGTGAAGATAGACAAGAGGATCACTGTGACGCTCGCTGAAAGCTCCATAGATGTTATAGCATTGGTCATAATTAAGGCTCTGCATATGCCCCAATTCCATAAACATTCGGGGGGGGGGGAACCAAATAGTGTAAGATGGCACTCAGGATGCCAGGCTCCAGGTGGGACCTGGGGATCTCCCGGAATGATAGCTTATCACCAGACTACAATTATCTGATCCCCTGGAAAAAACAGGGCCTTTGGAGGGTAGACTGTATGGTATTGTACCCCTCCGAGGTCCCTGTTCTCCCTACCTCGAGCTGGCAGCCCTACCTCCCCCTGCCTGCTGTCAGTGGCTAGGAAGGACCTGGGAACCCGAGAAGGAACACAGGATGACCCGAGCAGAGTTTAAAGTCAGTTGAAAATGGACTTAGAATGGGGGGACTGTGTTTAGGATTCCACTGTGCATTTCCTAGGAATCGCTGCCTTTCTGAAACGAAATTTCGATGTCCTCATGGCTGAAACGATATGCTTGTTAGTGTGTGCGTATTGCCCGCTGAAATAATCTCAGAGGCCAGAACAGTAGCCCAGTAGAGGCTGCTGGGTGAAATATCTGGTATTCAGTGCAGGTCGGTGAGAGTCTTGCGGAGAGCCCTTTCTCTGTCTGATGATTGGCAAGCTGGAATCTGGTTTCAGAGGGTAGCCACGTCGCTCCGCAGTAGAACAACTAGGTTTGAGCCCAGCAGTACCTTAGAGACCAAGAAGATTTTCGGGGGACAAGCTTTCGAGAGTCAACGTTCCCTTAGTCAGATATAACATCTCTGATGATGGGTGATTGGTCTCTTCAAAGCTCATTGCCGGTTGTGGTCTCTAAGTTGCTGCTGGACTTGAAGCTAGCTGTTCAAACTTGAATATGTTATCCAAAGGTAAGAAATGTTGCAACTCTGCTCCATTGGCATGATTAATACTGACTGGAATTAATTGGACCTATTACAGTTCCTCAGAGTCTGTAAAACGGAGCTGTTCTGCCAGGCCTTTGAGTGAGGCGGGCGTCCAGTTATTCCATCTCTTGGCCTCCCCTGCTGACCTTTCCATCTTCGAATGGCTCGTCAGGTGGAGAAGACCCGTAGTCTGGTCTATGGCCCAGCAGCTCCAGTTTTTGTGACTACCATACCAAACTGCCGTGCCACCTGTCTTGTTCGTAGCTTTGTTTTAACCAGTTTTAATTATTTATTGTGGAAGATTTATTAAGACATGTTTTAATTCTTACTATGTAATGTTTTAACTCCTGTTGTCAGCCGCTCCAAGCCCACTTGCGGGAAAGGCGGAATATAAGCCGAAATAAATAAATGCAGACCACAATTTTCCTTGCTGTGGAATCTGGATTACCTGGGTACATGCTTTTGGTTTTTTTTTAAAAAAACAACAACAGTGGAGTATCTAGGATGAATTCACAGGTCATGATGTTGTCATGTAACAAACTTTGATTGGTCAGCAAGATGTATAAAACAAACCCTGTCTTATTCAGGTGACCTGTGTTTGAGGTTTCTTGCTTCTTCACCTGCCTCCCTATAGAAGCCCTGCATGCTAT